CAAGAAAGCGCATGTACAGGCCCATCTAAAGTTTGCCAATTAACATCTGAATGATTCAGAGGAGAACTGGATGAAAATGTTGTGGTCAGATGAGAACAAAAATGAGCCCTTTAGCATCAACTCAACTCGCCGTGTTTGGAGGAGGAGGAATGCTGCCTATGATCCCAAGAACAACATCCTCACCGTCAAACATGGAGGTGGAAACATTATGCTTTGGGGTGTTTTTCTGCTAAGGGGACAGGACAACTGCAGCGCATCAAAGGGACGATGGACGGGGCCATGTACCATCAAATCTTGGGTGAGGACCTTTTTCCCTAAGCTAGGGCATTGAAAATGGATCGTAGATGGTATTACAGCATGACAATGACCCAAAACACACAGCCAAGGCAACAAAGGAGTGGCTCAAGAAGAAGCACATTAAGGTCCTAGAGTGGCCTAGACCTTAATCCCATAGTGTGGTCTCCAGGCTATAACCCCATAGAAAATCTGTGGAGGGAGCTGAAGGTTCAAGTTGAAAAATGTCAGCTTCAAACCTTAATGACTTGGATAGGATGTGCAAAGAGGAGTGGGACAAAATCCCTCCTGAGATGTGTGCAAACCTGGTTGCCTAACCTCTGTGATTGCCAACACGGGTTTTGCCACCAAGTACTAAATCGCAGGGGTCAAATACTTATTTACTCATTGACATGCAAATCAATTTATAGCATTTCTGACATGCGTTTTTCTGGATTTTTTTTGTTATTCTGTCTCTCACTGCTAAAATACACCTACAATTAAAATTATAGATTGATAATTTCTTTTTCAGTGGGCAAGCATTCAAAATCAGCAGGGGATCAAATACTTTTTTTCCTCACTGTAGGTGTGACGGTCATGTGTCTATACACTTTTGGCCATATAGTTTGGATTGATCCGTTTGTCCTGATTTTGATAACTCACACACTTATGATTTTTACTAATTTCTCATATGTAGAGTTAATACACCAAAAGGAACGCATTCCTGTTTCAGTTCTCACATTTGGAATTGATGGTTTTCAAAGTAGACACTGAAGTCAAAATGTCAAAATAAAAGTAGACAGTACTGGAAGTATGGTTGAGGGTGATGTCTGTACTTAACCCTAAGCCTGTCTATCAACCACAATCTTTGAAAGTAATAAAAAAACTTGGGACCCATTCATCACTTTATGAGGCCGTGATTATTATTATTATATTTATGTAGTGCCGGAAGTTGTTTTGCGCTATATAAATATAATAATAGTAATAATAATAATAATAATAATTAAGGGGTTAATTTTATTCTCGTTGTTTGATGTCTATATATTAAATATCAAGTCTTCCTCTCATTCTGTGAATGAACATTTAGTGCTCATAAAAACTGTTGAGTTACACCGTGAGCAAAAGGGTAAATTAATTGTTTATACGGGAATTACTTTCTACTTTATCATAATCACTAGGAGTAAGCAGGGAAGTTAGGCGTGCAGGCAAGCACTGAGTTAATAATGTAGAGAAATGCATGGTAAGTGGCAGATAGTGACAGTTCCTGTCCCGGACCTGCCAATCAAAGAGGTTACCCGTAGAATGCTTCATGCTTATGTGCATGCTGCTATAGATATTATTGATATGCTGGGACAGTTATTTATGCTCAAGAGACAGATTTTTATCAGTGACATCATTTGAGATAAATACATTTGTTTATCTTTTGTTTTTTTTCATCAATAGTTTTTTTTAATGTAAATGATATAAAATTATATAGCAGGGTCAAAATAGCTATCAGTACTCAGAAGATATGCAAGTTTATAGTACTGTGTTTTTGCAATAGCATTTTCACAGTACTACTGTTTAATGTTACACATATAATTTTATTAACAAAAAAAAGAAAAATCTTTAACAAAAAAAGTATAAATGGTAAATTATTGGTTTCTTAAAAGCATAGAAAGCAGCATATAATTTGAAAATAAGGGACTTATTCGGATACAGCTCATAAAACACTAGTGAGCTGAAAAGCAACTTTTTGTCCAAAAAAAGAGCGGGAAAAAAGTTCCAAGTGCATTGCGAATTCACAATTATTTGTACAGTGGAAACGCTACAAACATGTTAGCACTGATGTCTTTAACTGCCCATTGAAAATTACCATTAATTGCCAAACACGTGCTTATTTATTTAAGCAATTAAGTGAATATATAAATAAGACTGAGAGACCTTCTGATAAATTAGACTGAGGCAATTTGAAGCGCAATAAACAAACACAGAGAAACACTGACCAGAAAGCACGGAGAAGATTCTTGAAGTAAATAATTGTTCTGTCTTTTTCTTCACTACAACTGGGACTTTTTTCTGCTACTCACTTAATATGTTTATTGACTTCCTGTGGGTTTCCTATGACGGACCACTCCCAAGTGAGCAAAAAAAAAAAAAAGAGAGAGGCGCGAGAGACAAGCAGAACAAGAGCAGTCAAAACACAGAAACAGAAAATTGAAGAAAGGTAGACCAGGGTTATATAAGATGCAGTCAAATGAAGATCAGTAAAGATAGATGGAAAAAAATGGGTATTTTAAAGAAATCTCGAGAAAGACTAGTAATCTGACATTGTGCAGGTGGTGGTGGGTTACATGAATTCTTTCCATTAAATGCATAAATATTACAAAATAAGGAGGACTTTGCCCAAAGCAACCACATGTCTGTCACAATTCCCTTTTCTTCAATGAGACCACAGCAACTGCCAACTCACCTCAATGCTACCACCTGTCACTATCGCCTTCTCATAAAACCCGAGGGTCACTTGCAACGTAGGACAATCTAAAATTGATATGTAATACTAATGACCTCAGAAATTTTATCACGTCATGATTCAATGGTTTAGAATAATCACTAGGAGCAGCGTGTAAAATGGCTACCAGCAAAACCATATGGAAATAGCAATGCTTGTTTTAAACTGTTTTAAAAGAAAGCATGGAAATACATGGTAGCATTAATATTGGGTTAGCGTTCCTCCCATTTGGTTGCTTAGGACAGATAATTAAAGATAGATATATACTGATTAGCCACAACATAAAAACCTGCCTAATATCATGTATGTCCCCCTCATGCTGACAATACAGCACTGATGCATTGTGGCGTGCACTCCTCAAGACGTCTGAACGTGTCCTGTGATAGCTGGCACAAAGAAATTAGTAGCAGATCCTGCAAAGTGGGTTGGGGCCTCCACGGATTGGATTATTTGTTCCAGCACATCCCACAGATTCTCAATTGGATTGAGACCTAGGGAATTTGGAGGCCAAGGCAACACCCTAAACTCTTCGTCTTGTTCCTCAAACCATTCCTGAACAACATTTGCAGTGTGGCAAGATGCATTATCTTGCTGAAAGAGACCACTGACATCAGGGAACACCATTGCCATGAAAAGGTTATGCGTGGTCTGCAACATTCTCTAGGTACATGGTATGTGTCAAAGTAACATCCAAATGAATGTCTGGACCCGAGATTTCCCAGCAGAACATTGCCCAGAGCAAAGCAAAGCAAAGGTAAATGATGCACACCCACCTGATGTAAAAGACGTGATTCTTCAGACCAGGCAATCTTCTTCCCTAGCTCAATGGTCCAGTTCTGACACTCACGTCCCCATTGCAGGCGCCATATGCAGTGGACAAAGGGTATAATAGCCCATACACAGCAAACTTTGATGCACTGCGTGTGCTGACACCTTTCTATCATGGCCAGCATTAAGTTTTTCAGCAATCTGTGTGATTGGACCAGAAAGGCTTCCCATGTATATCAACTAGCCTTGGGCGCTCATGACCCCAATGTTGGTTCATTGGTTGTTCTTCCTTGCACCACTTTTGATAGGTACTAACCACTGCATGCTGGGAACACCCCACAAGACTTGCCATTTTGGAGATGCTCTGACCCAGTCGCTTGCCCATTTTGACTGCTTTCAACACATGAAATTCAAGGACTGGTTCAAGAACTGTTGCCTTGACAGGTGCCTTTGTAACAATATAATAAATCTTTTCACTCCACCTGTCTGTGGTTGTAATGTTGTAGTTGATCAGTATATATAATGACGCAACTTCCAGGTCGTTGGTCATGAGTTAAGATATTTCTTTTAGTTTATGTTTTAGAGCAACATACCTTGCCGCTATTAGATGTTGCCAGTGACATAACAAAAGTAGATGGGTACACCCACGCCAGGTTTACAGACAGCCTCTTGGTCAGCCACCTTCATAGAGAAAAACACTTCATGCATGGTCCTTCTAATGATGCACTCGTGCTGTGCTGTCTGAAGTAATAAAGTCTTACCAGTGGTATATGTAATCCTATGTAAAAAGAGTATAGAGTCCTGTTTAAAATTATGATAGTCAGCAGCAGCCAGGGATACTCTTGCCACGCTAGGCAAAAAAAACTATGCCCCCCCCATGTTGTGACATCACAATATCCTACCCATATGATCCCCCCGCATATGTTCCATCACTTTTTACGATATTTACTTTACTTTGTCCCCTAGCCCCTCTGTATGTCTCTTTGGCCCTCCCCAGCCCCTTTGTGTTTCTATTTATCCCCCCAGCTTTTCTGTGTGTCTATTTATCCCCCCTAGCCTCACTTTGTGTCTCCTTGTCACCCCAGCCTCCCTTCTGTGTGTCTTTATCAACCCACCAGCCCCCCTTCTGGGTGTCTCTTTGTCACATCCCAGCCTCGCTTCTGTGTGTCTTTGTCACCCCTCAGTCTCTCTTTTGTGTGTTTCTTTGTCACCGCTTCAGCCTCCATTCTATGTGTTTCTGTCACCACACCCAGACTCCCGTCTGTGGATTCTCCCCCAACACCCCTCAGCTTCCCTTCTGTGTGTCTTTATCAACCCACTAGCCCCCCTTCTAGGTGTCTCTTTGTCACATCCCAGCCTCGCTTCTGTGTGTCTTTGTCACCCCTCAGTCTCTCTTTTGTGTGTTTCTTTGACACCGCTTCAGCTTCCCTTCTGTGTGTTTTTATCACCACACCCAGACTCCCGTCTGTGGATTCTCCCCCAACCGCCTCTCTCTCTCTCTATGTATAAATGTATATATATATATATATATATATATATATATATATATATATATATATGAGAGAGAGAGAGAGAGAGAGAGAGAGAGAGAGAGAGAGAGAGAGAGAGAGAGAGAGAGAGAGAGATATGTAAAAAACAGTAATATTTGTATGTTGTACTACCTTTTTTATTGGATTAACAGAATTTTGTAATGACAAGCTTTCGGGAGAACCTCCCTTTCTCAAGTTTCTGAGCAAGACGACACACATATACACACACACATATATACAGGGAGTGCAGAATTATTAGGCAAATGAGTATTTTGACCACATCATCCTCTTTATGCATGTTGTCTTACTCCAAGCTGTATAGGCTCGAAAGCCTACTACCAATTAAGCATATTAGGTGATGTGCATCTCTGTAATGAGAAGGGGTGTGGTCTAATGACATCAACACCCTATATCAGGTGTGCATAATTATTAGGCAACTTCCTTTCCTTTGGCAAAATGGGTCAAAAGAAGGACTTGACAGGCTCAGAAAAGTCAAAAATAGTGAGATATCTTGCAGAGGGATGCAGCACTCTTAAAATTGCAAAGCTTCTGAAGCGTGATCATCGAACAATCAAGCGTTTCATTCAAAATAGTCAACAGGGTCGCAAGAAGCGTGTGGAAAAACCAAGGCGCAAAATAACTGCCCATGAACTGAGAAAAGTCAAGCGTGCAGCTGCCACGATGCCACTTGCCACCAGTTTGGCCATATTTCAGAGCTGCAACATCACTGGAGTGCCCAAAAGCACAAGGTGTGCAATACTCAGAGACATGGCCAAGGTAAGAAAGGCTGAAAGACGACCACCACTGAACAAGACAAACAAGCTGAAACGTCAAGACTGGGCCAAGAAATATCTCAAGACTGATTTTTCTAAGGTTTTATGGACTGATGAAATGAGAGTGAGTCTTGATGGGCCAGATGGATGGGCCCGTGGCTGGATTGGTAAAGGGCAGAGAGCTCCAGTCCGACTCAGACGCCAGCAAGGTGGAGGTGGAGTACTGGTTTGGGCTGGTATCATCAAAGATGAGCTTGTGGGGCCTTTTCGGGTTGAGGATGGAGTCAAGCTCAACTCCCAGTCCTACTGCCAGTTCCTGGAAGACACCTTCTTCAAGCAGTGGTACAGGAAGAAGTCTGCATCCTTCAAGAAAAACATGATTTTCATGCAGGACAATGCTCCATCACACGCGTCCAAGTACTCCACAGCGTGGCTGGCAAGAAAGGGTATAAAAGAAGAAAATCTAATGACATGGCCTCCTTGTTCACCTGATCTGAACCCCATTGAGAACCTGTGGTCCATCATCAAATGTGAGATTTACAAGGAGGGAAAACAGTACACCTCTCTGAACAGTGTCTGGGAGGCTGTGGTTGCTGCTGCACGCAATGTTGATGGTGAACAGATCAAAACACTGACAGAATCCATGGATGGCAGGCTTTTGAGTGTCCTTGCAAAGAAAGGTAGCTATATTGGTCACTGATTTGTTTTTGTTTTGTTTTTGAATGTCAGAAATGTATATTTGTGAATGTTGAGATGTTATATTGGTTTCACTGGTAATAATAAATAATTGAAATGGGTATATATTTGTTTTTTGTTAAGTTGCCTAATAATTATGCACAGTAATAGTCACCTGCACACACAGATATCCCCCTAACATAGCTATAACTAAAAACAAACTAAAAACTACTTCCAAAAATATTCAGCTTTGATATTAATGAGTTTTTTGGGTTCATTGAGAACATGGTTGTTGTTCAATAATAAAATTAATCCTCAAAAATACAACTTGCCTAATAATTCTGCACTCCCTGTATATATATATATATATATATATATATATATATACACACACACACAAACATACATACACAGGGCTCAACTTGCCAGCCCTTTGCTAAGCCGTGCAGGAAACATTGAACCTTGCCTCCACGGGGAGTGAACAAGTTCACTGATACACACGCTCACTACAGACAAGCTCACTGACACACACAAGCTCACTACAGACAAGTCCACTGACACACACAAGCTTACTAGAGACAATCTCACTACAGACAAGCTCACTGACACACACACACACACACACACACAAGCTCACTACAGACAAGGTCACTGATACATACACAAGCTCACTACAGACAAGCTCACTACCACACAAACAAAAGCTCACTACAGACAAGCTCTCTGATACACACACAAGCTCACTACAGACAAGCTCACTAATACACACACATGCTCACAACAGACAAGCTCACTGACACACACAAGCTCACTACAGACAAGTACACTGACACACACAAGCTTACTACAGACAATCTCACTACATACAAGCTCACTAACACACATACTCACTACAGACTAGCTCACTAACACACATGCTCACTAAAGGCAAGCTAACTGACACACAAGCTCACTACAAACAAGCTCACTGACACACTCAAGCTCAATACAGAAAAGCTCCCTGACACACAAACATGCTCACTACAGACAAGCTCACTGACACACACAAGCTCACTACAGACAAGCTCACTGACACACACACAAGCTCACTCACTAGCAGGAACATACACATTCAAGATCACTCTGTCATGCTAAATATTGGAAGTCTACCTGGTAAACGCATCCTGGTAAATGTGCTGAGGTATTTTTTTTCTCTTAGACCTCTTTGCCCTATAGGTTTCATCTCTGATTTAGGGTGTACTGAGGTTGTGTGATTAGTTTAGTTTGATCTAGCGCTTGTGTTCATAGTTACATAGCTGAAAACAGACTTGCATCCATCAAGTTCAGCCTTCCTCACTTTTGTTTTTTGCTGTTGATCCAAAAGAAGGCAAAAAAACCCAGTTTGAAGCACTTCCGATTTTGCAACAAAGTAGGAAAAATAAATCATTCTTGACCCCAGAATGGGAGTCAGATTAATCCTTGGATCAAGAAGCGATTACCCTAAATTGAAAAATTATATCCTTAAATATTCTGTTTTTGCAAGTATGCATCTAGTTGCTGTTTGAACATCTGTATGGACGCTGATAAAACCTCTTCTTCAGGCGGAGAATTCCACATCCTTATTTTTCTTACAGTAAAATTTTCTTTGCCTGTTTAGTGGTGTACTGAGGTATTTATATATATAGCCTGTTTCATTTAGGATTCATTGAGTTTTGGCATTCCTATTATTTATCCAGGCATCCTGTCACCATTAGGTATTTGTGAGTGTACCTGACTAGGTGGTGCCTAGATGACACCATGTTATTTACTGCTCTTTATTTAATGTTTTTTTTTTAAAGTAGTATATGCAGGACTGTTATAGAGCTAGTGCTGTGAGTCTAGTCGGTGCATGAGCATTCATTTTCAGTTTCACAGATAAACTTATGACCTCTACTGGCTACTCTAAGGCATAATGTCTATATATAACCTCTTATTTCCTTATCATCTGTCTCCACGTAGTGGTTGATACATCTCTCAGACTAGCAATTACCTGCTGTATATACCTGGTTTTTCCCTAAAGCTGTGGTGATTGCTTTAGACTGAGGACTCTTTTTCTGTGTTTGATTATATTAAGCTTACAGTAGTTTCTTTCCCAGAGTTTATTGTAGTTGTGGTAGTTTTCACCAGGATAATTTTCTACTTCTCCCCATGTCATCATCTCACCCCAGAATCTCCCTCCCCCAACCCCATTGTATCCCTTTATCTCTTCCCATCCTGGTGTCAACCTCCCCAATTCACCACCCCAGTGACATACGTTCCCCCCACCCTACATCATCTTCTTATGACTTACTACAGTGTCACTATTTGACCCATCCTCAAACCACTATGGCGCCACTATAAACATGATTATGAAATGTTAATCATCATCATGATTCATAATACAAACAACCGTTAGTGGCAGATTCCCATAAGAAAGAAATGTATGCAGTGCATTTAAAACTCATATCGAAATCCAAGTTGCGCGCTTGGCAGAACCTCATACTCTAAAGAGGATCAAAACAAGCCTACCCACACACATTACATTTTATGGCAGGTACCAGCAAATCACAATGCATAATTGAGACCTACAGCATATTTTAATCACCTGCACAACAAATGCACACTCAGACACTTTGCCAGCTCAGTATTTTTGGCAGGCTGGTGCAGATTCAGGCTGTATGTAGGGTGCTAATCACTCACTAATCACCTGCAGGGCCAGATTAGCATAGGTGCTGGTGGAGCTGCAACTCTAGGCCCCTGTCCTGCCCATCATTATTGAGTGACTGCTTCAAAAAGGCTGGGGAAGTTGGCAGCTACTTTAAATTGCAGTATCGTGAGCCTGAACTCCGACCCTCCCCTACAACCTCTGCAACCTGTGAGCTTTGTGAGGATACAATGTCAGCAGAGGATGAGGCTTTTGCCAGTCTCATTAACATCTGTATAGATGAATCACTGTTAAAATTCAAGGGATATTCAAGCAATATATTCTGTCTAAGGAATTATATTTTACGAGCTGTGTGAATGCAACATTTGTCATACCTGGGCAGGGAAATAGTTAACTAGATCCACTAGGATGCCCTTAATCAGTAGAAACAAATGGCAACATTGTGTGCGATCTCCTCCTTTTTTTTTAAATGAATAAAGCCTATCAATTATTGTTGGACAATTACTACACTAGCATAGATTGATTTAAAAATATATTTCATTTTGACATCCTAGCCTGTGGCACATTGTTGAAAAACCGGAAAGGTTTCCCCTAGAAGCCGATATCTTAAAAAACAGGAAGGCACAATAACTGCTTTGCACCATGATGAAGTGCTGGCCCTTAGGTACACAGACAAAAAAAGACGTGTGCATACTGTCCACACTTCATGATTAGAGTACATTGCCAGTGTCAGCCAGCAGAAGTGATGCACAAGTAGAAAAGCCTGCAAAAAATCACCTCAGAAATAGTGAGTAGAGTCTTTTACAAAAGAGGAGTTAAGAGGGACTCTACATACCATTGCCCTTCCTACCCATCTCTACCTGGTCTAAATGTTTTAATAGTGTGCCACACAGAGTTTTTTGTTTGTTTTTCAATATGTACTTTTTTCCTGTTTTCTATTATACTTTTTTTCT